TTCGCAAGGTTCCCTTTTTTTCCCCTGGCGTTACACCCGCTACAAACTTTTCCACAAGTAAAGCAATATCACTTTAGACCACATTTACCACAGCCCCCCCGTTGTTTGCCATCGGGATTGGGTTTTCGTCTCGTGGCAACGACCTTGTAAAACAAGACAGTTCACTTCGTGAACTCGGCAACCAGGTTACCGTTTTTTTTTTTACCTCCGTTTTTTTTTTTTTGGCGGTAACCATAATAATGGTGGTCGAGTAGATCATTTTGTGCGGGGTCGAGAACACTCGCTCTGCGCAAGGGGGATGATCGCACCACGTTGTGTTAAAATGGTCAAGCACCCTCGAGGCAGTTACACAGTGCTTACAACTGTCTCTGGAAGTGAAAGCACCAGAAAATAAATTAAGTCATACGCAGCTGTCATCCGTACGCAAGGAAGTAAGCACAAGATGCCGAACACCCTTAGCAGGATGCAGCGCACCCTTCATGCGACTCGCCGAATATCTCACGGCGCTTCGCGCTTGGTGATGTGAGAGCCTGGTCCGGTGAGAACCCGGCGTGCTCCGTCCCGGCTTTGTAGGGATGCGAGGTCAATGGTCTAACGACTACGGCATGCACGACTATGAGTCCCCCCCCCCCCCCTCCCCCGACAATTTTCTCCCCGGTGTTTGCCATCGAGGTCGGGTTTTCGTCGCTTGCCAACCGTTGAACAACAAGCCGATCACTTCATGAGCTCGACGACCAGGTTATCACCGTTTTTTTTTGCGGTAACCGTACGATACGATTGGTATTTATCGAGTAGAATGATGACCATCATCGTTGAGGTGTTCGGGGAGTTCGGGCTAACGGTGTCGGAGAAGAACTCGGAGGCGCTCCTGATGCGCGCGAAGGACAAGCCGACTACAACATCGCAGCGCCTCCACCATTGACCATCGAAGCCGCGGGGCAGAAATTCGCCCAGACGACCGAGTTCCGGTACCTCGGTGGCCTCGTCAACGAACATGGCGACCTCACCCGGGAGATCAACTACAGGAGCAGAGGAGCGTGGGCGTGCCTCAGGCGATATGGCCGGGAGTTCTTCGACAGACCGCCAGCGCCATTCCGACTTAAGATCCGCCTGATCCAGGCGGAGGCGATGGAGGCATTGCTGTACGGCTGCATGACATGGTCACCACTCAGCGGCCACTATCAGACGCTGCGGTCGACACACCACCGACTGCTCCTTCGAGTTATTGGGTACAAGCGCAAGAAAGACACCGACCTGCAGCTCTCTTACGCCCAGACGCTGAAGAGGGTCGAATGCCAGAGCGTTGNACCACTCAGCGGCCACTATCAAACGCTGCGGTCGATACACCACCGACTGCTCCTTCGATTTATCGGGTACAAG